GGTCTCCAAAGTGGGGTGCGCAAGACGATCCATTGGGGTGCGGGAAGAAAATATTAAAACTTCTATTTATATTTATATAAATATGCATATATTGGGGGTGCGTGCTCAAAAATTTTTTACTGATAGGGGTGCGCGAATATAAATATACCTACATTGGAGGTGTGTGCTCAAAAATTTTTTACTGATGGAGTGCATGATCAAACAAGTTTGGAGACCACTAGCCTAGGAGATAGCTTGGATTAAAATTTCTTTAAAATAGTGGTATCCAAGCTTTTTGCTCAGCGAGCTGGACTAGCAGTGCCCAGTATCTGCATGCTGGATCCAGCCAGTGCTCAGGCAGTAGAGCAGGCACTATCTGCCTGTGCACTGGAGGGAGGGGTAGGGCAGGCCAGCCCCAAAGCAACCCCACAGGCGAAAGGGATGTGACCTGGCCCCAACAGGGCAGGGGGAAGGAGGCATTGCCCAGCCCCAGTAGGGGTGGGGACAGGGGTGGGAAATTGGGCGTAGTCCCAAAGGAAGGGTAGGGGACACGGCCCATCCCTAAATCCACAAGAACGGGTGGAGAGGCATGGCTTGGCCCCACGGGAGCGGGGCACGTAACTTGCATCCCAACAGTCACGCAGAGAATGGTGTGTGTGGGGGGGGAGAATATTAATGGCCACTCTTCCTCTGTTGCCAAATTCATGGACCCCAGCAGAGCCCTGCAGACCAGATGCACTGGCTCCACAGCGTGCATATTTGGCCTGTGGTTGGGCACCCCTGATTTAGCACATCTATCCATCTTGCACAACTCTTAGGTAGATAGACTCCTCTTTGAAATTGTTTTACATAACGGAAACAGCTTTCAAAATGTGTTATGATGTGAAAAGGGTAAAAACATTGTCCAAAAAAGGATAGGATCTAACAGCTTATGCTCACTCTGGACATACACTTGAATCCAATGACCCTTGTTATCTTAAACTGGGGAAAGGCACAGACCTTAGGTTAGCATCTTACCAATAAAGCCAATTCATAAGCATTTATTACCTGTTTCACTTTGTGGATTCTAGTGATAAGCTCCTCAGCAGAGACGCTGCCAGCAATTACTTCCAAGGGAACCCCATTGTCTCCTATGAAGAAACTGGATGGAACACACACTACAGGATCTGAATGGTAATTTGTAAAGGCCAATACATGGGATGTAGTTTAAGCAGCGTATTTAAAGGAAAGATGTACAAGTAAACCAAAAAAGGAAAATAAGGTATACATACAATTATGAAACAGTCCAGTCTTCCTACTCGGTTTCTGAAGTGATTTAAATTTGAATATCCTCTAACACAACATTTAGGAGGAAGTTATCAAGCATATCTTTGAATCAATGTTTGTGAAAGAATTCATAAACGTCCCCAAGCAAAAGTACAAGATTATGTATGGACATGACAGAAAACCTGATTGTTTCTTGCTGGGGCAGGAGGGGAGAACCAAAACAAAAACTAATTTATGGTTTAGTGTTAACCACAGAGAAATCCTTTCTGCAAATGAGCAGCCAGCAGAGGATGGAGCATACCCGACCTAATACTAACATTTTGGTTGGATTTTAGTCATGATGTAGAAAGACCAATCAAATAAAAAGAAACATTAAGTGTTATTATACAACATTGACAGCTGGTCTTGTAAGCCTCCACCATGAAGGACTGTTTGAGTTTTAAACGGTATGCTCTTTATTATGCATAACAGAGGTCCTCTGAATTTACATCTCTGTAAATGAAAGCAAATTCAGCCCAAGTCCAACTTCTTTTGTTTTTCTCATCCTCCACAACACATTCAAATTGATAATTTCAAGTTTCATATTTAAAAGCTAATCATCAGTACTAGTACACATTACCATACATAGTTTTTTGTGGCTGCGACTGGCTTATTTTTAATAAAGTTAAAAAAAAAAAAGAAGGAATCTTCTGTTTAGAGACATTATGCAGTTGATATACAGAAACATAGTAACAGCCACATGTGGTCAGAGAAATGACGATCTAACCCAGTTTCCTGTCTTAAAAAACATCAAGTAGAATATGCCTCAGAGGAGGAGTGTAAGGAAGAGGCCAAGCGCAGAATGATCTATACACACTCAATTATGTAGATTCACCTGAATAACTGATGGATGGTATATCACATAATGAGCAGTTAGCCAGCTGTGTTAATCTGAAATCAGGCAGAAGGCAGGGTAGAATGACACCTCAGAGCATAATCAGCAGTCCTTTTACAGCACATGATGAAGTGAGCTTGGGCTTGCAAAAGCTTATGCTATATATATTTAGTCTATTCATACCAACTTTTTTCCTACAAAAGTCTATTAACTCTCTGACCCAGTCAGACGCTGAGGTTCCACCTTGCCCTGCCAATCAGTAGTTATACAGTAGTAGTCAAATATAATGTGAACTTATTTTAAAAGGATACAGATCTGTGAAAATTGCAGACACGCTTCACTGTACAAAACAAAAAGAGATGTTCAGCAGGGACTAACCATTTACACGGTTTACATCCTAGATTAAAGAGTTAACAAGCTCTCTAATCACATCACAAACTAAGTGACACACTACCACTGCACACAGCACTATTTAAATACCTGATACATTACTGACAGTAAACTTATATTATACTTTCCGAAACATCCAGGAATTACTGCTATACTGACTACTTCAGTCAGGAATGAAGTCCACATTAGATGGTTTAGAGAAAAAACGTTGAGCACGAGAGTGAGCCACAACAGGTTTTGGATCTCTGATAGCACACGTCCAACTTACTGACTGCTTGTATCTCATGAAATTTACATAAAACCCACTGAGTGCTGTAAAGTAACAGACATCTTGACTAGAGTCAACAGGTGGCACAAAGAACGATGCTACTTTTATGACCAACATAACTAACAAAACACCTGTGTATTTTTGTACTGTCTCTCTATAATCACCACAGTGGCCCACCTCGGTTCTGGGTTTTTCTGTTGGGACAATGAGAATATTAGTTTCTCAGAGTAATGCAAATTTCCCAAGTAGTTTTCTACTTGACATTTCTGGAATACTTGCATTGTGTCTAATTTTTTTATTTCATTATGGTTCTTCACTTTCAAAAAGAGAAAAAGCATCAATCTCACCTTGATTTGGCTGGTGCTAAAAATACAGCATCAGAAATGTAACTATGATATTCTATACAAAGGTGAAGAAAAACTTTCCATAATCTACTTTTTTTTCAGCCTACAGCTGCATCAAAACTACTGAAATCACTTAGAAAGTTTTGGAGCAGTTAGTTATTCCCAAACAGTGGCCTGCGAGTCTATAAGTGATCCACTGACCGCAGCACCCATCTTTCCCCAGCTCTTTTCAATTACTGTTTGATGGTAAATTTGCTCTCAAAATGTCTCACAAAGTCATCTGTTGGTTCAAAAAGGTCAGGAGCCATTGTTTTACAGCAGCAGTAGTAACTTTCTGGCTGCAGGCCACCTTGAGTTAGAGATGGATGCTAGGACTTGCCCACAGTGGCAAGAGGAGAGCGCCGGCTCCCAGAGCCCAACATTCCCAGGCCAGACCCAATGGTTCAGCAGGCCGATCCAGTCCCAGAATGCCAACCTCTGTTCTGGAGCAAGGAGGGCTATCTCCAAATCAGGTGTATGGTCTTAAAAAACTAGGTATTCTTCTTCTTATTGTTATTAAATGACTGAAAAAGACTGTACAAAATGTAAAGTATTAGAATGTGAGCAAACCTTTTGGTATGAATTTTAATAGCAACAAAACCCTCTGAGGCAGCTTCAGTCACCTTCTCATCCTCCCAACTAGCAGCCATTTGTGTAGATTGTTCATCATCACCTACAAGACATAATACATATGGAAAGTTAAAACACACAACAAATTGCAAGTTTTGTTATGATACTCCCAGAACTGTCAGGATTTGAAAGCGACTGCAAACATCATAAACTGAAGTTGATATTCTAAGTAATTTGAGATTTGCTCGAAGAATTTAAACTACAGAACTTAAACCGGTCAGAAACAACCAAAAAGCCTAAAATGCAATATATATCAGTAAAACACACAATAATTTTTAGGGGGAAAAAGACGCATGGAAGTTATTTTAATATTTCATAACAACCTTGAAAATGTAATCAGTATTCTGTGAAATATGGTATATAGCAGAAGATGCATCCAATCACTAAGACGTTTTACATGTGCAGTAAAGAGTCCTGAAGCATTTTAAAGCAAGTAGTCTGTACCAATTTGCTTAAAGTCAATTATTATATTTGGCAAAGAGTTCTATTAGCTTGCCAAATTGTTCATCAAAAAATCTCTCGCCACAAACGAGTCTTATTTATTTAAAGATTTTTGCTATAGTTTAGAACAGGCAATTTACCACCCCATTTTCCTCCCAGAACCTAGCAAATCTAATATAGTACGATAATCATTATGTGTGTAGTATGCATGGAGATTTACATTGCGATTACTGCAACAGAAGACAAATTCTTTATAACTAATGCATCAAAACAGAAGTTTCTTTCATCTGGCACCTGGGTGCTCAACACTGCTACCAAATTTCTGGCTCCATAGGGAGCCCAGCAAGCCAGACAGGGCCCAACCTGGGCACAGGCAGTGCAGTGCCTGATCCAGGAATTCAGGGGCCAAGCAGACGCAGCCTGGGGATCAGCTCTGTGCCACTCATCCAGCCTGTGGCCAGGAGGTTGAGCACTACTGATATTAGCAGACAGCAAATACAGTACTCATAAAACAGTGCTGCTGCTAATCAGAAGCAACTCTGATTCTAAATTCTTGCTTACGGAAGACTACAATGTTCTAACCCTGAAAATTACCCGTTGGAAAAGTCTCATTTTTAATAATAAATTAATTAACTAATTCTAGAAAATCTGGAGCAAATCCATTGAGGTTTTTTCCTTTTTTGGTTTGAGAGAAAACACTTTCACAGGGGTGCGAACATGAAGCGCATAAAGCTGTGGGCTGGAATGACATACCTTGGGTCAGAGACAGACAGTAGGAGCCACTCACAGGCAGGGCTTCAAAATTAAGTAGGAATCAAGTACACATATGCAGTATGGTATTGTCCCCATCACAGCCAGTTTCAGAAAAGTTTTTGTTTTTTTTAATTACTAAGGGAAAAGATTAAAATCATCTACACTGAGTAAGATGAACTCAAAGCAATGTGCTGCTCAGAAGCATCATCCTTACACTGAGGCAAGTGTGTTTAGGAACATAGGCTTAGAAAGGGCACTGGATTCAGTGGCCCAGGAGACCCTGTGTTTGTAGGCTACCAGTTACATAAAGAATCCCCAACACTGCCACTCCAAACACTCCTACAACTACAAGGGACAACCCCCGAAACCCTAAGAACTCAGTTCATCATGCCCTAGTAAAAAGTAGGGTAAATGAGGGCACTGTCAGTGTCTTCTCACTGCAGTGATAGAGAAGTAGTTTCTCAATATATGTTCAGAAGTCCTTAGGGGAAAAAAAAGACCATGCCTCATAGCAAAGGGACAGACATCCTCCACATCCTTGCCAATCTGAGATAAAAGACAAATTCCTTCCTGATCCCAAATCAGCAACACCCTGAGCAGAAAGACATTCTCTAGCTAGGAACCAGGACGGATAAAAATCTTTTTTTTTAAATTAAAAAACTGGATTTTTTCTATTTAAATCAGATTTTTTGGCTATGACGCTTTAAAAAAAAACCCTATATAAAGATAGCTTTAATGTAAGATATGTTAAAGCTCAGAGATATCATCATGGAATAGGGATTATAACTTCTAATTATATACACTATTTGAGACAATACATTCATAAAGCCTTTGTAGAAAAGTTTTATAAATACGTCACAACAGGCCATGGCCTATACTAGGGGCCCAATTTTATGGGGTTCCCAGAGGTTCCTTTATAGATTAGTAAAGATTGAAGAAAACCATTCTACCCAACAGGACTCAGTGCTCAGCAGAAGATCCCCTTAAGCATCTCTGTGATGCTTAGTTTCAGTTCTCAAAAAAACATGGATGTGTGTCTCCAGAGAATGTCCTTGTTAACAGCAGTATATGAAAAGGAAAGATAACAGATCTGATTACTTATGTATCAGCTCTCTTATCTCTCTGCAAGTTTGTGTACTCAGAGTCAAGCCCTTACCTCTCTCTAAAGAAGTGCAAAGTGTTAAGAAGTTAAATGAAGAAAGGATATCAAACAACAAGAATGTGCCTTTTGTAGAATTGAGGCTTCCTAACCAATGATTTCAATCATGATTTAAATTGAATCCACCCTGCTATGAATCTCTTGGCTTTTTGAAAGCAGGTATGAGCAACAGCTTCTTCCTTACTAAATTGCTTCAGCATTAAATAGAAAAATCCCAGTAAAAACAAAGACAACGTGTCAAAATGTTCCCAGGCTGAGATACAATGTATACTCTCCTTTTCCAGTACTTATCCCAGCCTGCTGATGTACAAGAACTGCAAACTTTTATGCACTGGGTTTTCACCACGCAGTACCATCTTTTTTGCATGCAAGATGTTCCGGATTATAATACAAATGTTGTTTCTGAAAGGCACAACAAAGAAAAAAGCTCTTCCCTTGTAGTAAAACTCAGTCGTAATTTAACTGAGAGCCAAGCCTGCTCACCGGTTTGGTCCCTGTGGATCTCTGCAGATTTTATTTTCAGTTTCAACTAATAAATAGCAGAACTTGCTATTGCTGTATTCCCTGCATATAAATGTACACTCCAATTTCCAGCAGCTAGTTTTGGGAGAAAGGGCGAGCGTTGCATGCAAGAAAATATGGTACCTATCACATTAGTTAACACAATTTTCCTAGTTAGCACTGGGACTATTTTATTCACTATGTTATTCATCTCAAGTGCTACTGATAGCAGGTGTAATGCAAAAATTATATAACAACATTTCTCCTTGTAAACACAAGGAGGTATACAATTAGTTGATCTAGAAATATCTATCTTGTTCTCCTTTAACACCAGTGTACAGTTTAGGGACAGAGGGCATTTATACACATGCTCTAGGAGTGGGGGGGAGGGGCACTAACTAGAGCGGCTCTGAGAAGTGCTCTAATTAAAGCTCCCAGAGCATCTCGTGCATTAGCGTCCCCACGCTTAAAAATGGTGGTGGGAGTGCTTTAACTAAAGCTCGTTGAATGCTGGAGTCGCTTGAGTCTGCAGGAACAAGACGCTGAAGTCTGCTGGAGTGCAGTAATTACCTTGCTCCAGCAGACTTGATTAATGTCATTAATTTGCTGCAATTCCAGTGCGTTGGGGCTGTTTGTGTATACGTGCCCAGAGGCTGCTAGTTTCCTAAGAGCCATTTGATCTCACGCTGCTGGCTCCTCTTCCTTGTTTCAAAATATTTAGATGCATGAATCAGGCTGCAAAATGATTCCTTTTCACCTCCCAGAAAGGACACATGCTTATCCTATTAAACTGCTAAAAATACCTAAATACTTGCTTAACATTAATTTCCTCTGGTAAACAAATGCTGTGGTTCCCAAAGTAATTTTGTGAGATCACAAATTGGTCATGACTCATGAGGTTATCAACAATACACTCATATTAAGATGGGAATTCACAAATGAAAAAGTGGAAAACCTATATTATATAAACAACATCTCATTGTACTTATTTTAAGGTCTGCGACCATAATTTAAATTAAATTGCTAAGTCATGTGTATTGTTGTTTATATAATCCTTTCCTATTTCAGAAGTAAAGTTTATCTAATATTTCCTACTGAATAATTGTATCTTGAAACTTCTAACCCCCCCGCAAATATATAAAATGAGTATTGCATTATAAAACATCCAGTTAAAAAGGGAATTAAAAACCTACGCAACAGAGTTCCAAATTGCTAAAAATATCTTGAGACCCCTGTCTGTAGGAGCTCTTCCGTTTCCAAGATGGGAAAAGCATCACTTCAGTATTTCTATAGCAGATGATCACAGCACTGGTATGGCTCGAATAGTGACTGCTCCTCTTTAGTTTGCTTAATAAATACAGAGATGCACAGAGAGGAAGGATGTATGCATTCTCCGTAATAGGCAAGGACTGCAGGAAACTGAAATATTCCCGATAACAGGCAAAGACCATTTAGCTTCTCAAGAATTGGCATGAACTGTCAAATATAGAGGTACCCCGATATATCGGTCCATGCCGTATCAGCACCAATAAGAGGAAAATTGACATTATCAATAATCGGCTTATTTTGTCTGATGTGGCTGATAATGCTGCCGATAAATGCCGCTTCATGCGCATAGCAACAGTATGCACGGGGCCAAGAGCGCAGCCCAGCAGCTTGCAGAGCAGCATCCAGCTAGTAAGTCTGTTGGGCAAAAGGGGCATGGGGAGGAACAGACTGAGTCTTCCCGCCCCCCCAACCCCCACACCTGAGTGAGGGAGGGAATGGGACTGGAGCAGGTGCTGTGCAGCCGGAACAGGGAGGGGCGTGGGACGTAGCCAGGGGCTCATCTGGAGGGTGTGGGAGGGTGGGTGGCTCCCGCCACTGCACGCACTCCCAGGGAAGACATGGGGAGGGGAGGGGTAGGGGTGTGCCCCACTGGATTTGTCCAGGGGGCAAGAATGGCCTGCCGCTGTGCACTCGGGGCTGGAGCTGTTCCAGCCTCTGCCCAGCAGCTGTACTCGGGCTGGATGGGGTGGGTGGTAGCAACACTGGGAGTGGGGCTGGGGGGGGGCTAGAGCCACCCCAAAATTTACCTTAGCCCCTCCCAGCACTGCCTCTGCCCACCCCACCTGGCCCAAGCACAGCCACTATGAAGAAGCTGGAGTAGCCCCAACCCTGAGCTTGCAGCAGTAGCCCATCCTCACCCCCCATGCCTCCCTCAAGGGCGAGTACAGTGGCGGGAGCCACCCTCTTGCCCCCATA